TTGCGTCTGAGCGGCTGAAACAGGATTATTATTACTCCTCCTCTTGGTACGCGCATTCGTAGGCTTGCAAATGTTGAGAGAAAACGGCTGTGAGAAAGAGAGGAGTGTACTTCTGACCTTGTCTGGCTCCTGCACCGGTACATAACTCTTACGACATCTTGAAGAGAAGCGGGGTGCATCGTGACATAACAGCAGGGCCTTGACCTGCAGTGGCCATGATTCAGACGAGTGGAGAGAAAAAGAGAGAAAGAATTACACTTGTAGGTCTCGAGACAGAGCGGAAGAAAATGAGGACGTAACACCACAAGGCCTATCCGTGGTTCAGGTGAAATTAAACCAATAATGACGTGAAGGCCTAAGAAAGATCACTTTTCTTCCTCAGAATTTACATCTTTGGGTTTTCGCCGAAGGTGTGATGCATATTCTTGGACATTTGCTTCATTCGTCAATTTAAAAAGAGACAAACGTTTTGGAGGCTGACTTTACTTCCGACATCCGGCAAAACAAAACATTTTAGTTACACTGACAAAAACTAATGATCAAGGGGTTGAGAATAGCTTTTTCCGATGGACAACTGATTATGTTGTATTTCACCTGATGGAGGAAAACAGAGCCAGTCTTCAAAAAACCTGTAGGTGTTTAAAATTAACAGACCAAGGAAAACGTGCAAGAATATGCATCAGTATAGACAAACTGGGAGATCTTTGCGCGTTACGAATATCATCGAATGCGCATCCAGCCAACAGGGATAAATGTACACACACTATATATATATATATATATATATTTATTTATTTATTTAGTGTTCTGTCCGACGACAGGTCCATATGAACAGGATCCTTCCATCCTTTTCTCGGACTGGGACCTGTTCATATACGTTCTTGGCAGATGATCCAGAAGTGGTTTGCCATTGCCTTCTTCTGTGTGTGAATGGAGTAATTGTTGGGATGCCACGGAGATACCGGGGAAGCCCCCGGAGGAAAACTCCGTGTTGCCTAGACCACGGCCTTGCCCAACACAAGTTATAAATTCGGGCACCGCCGGGAATTGAACCCGAGACCCCAGGATTACAAGGCCAGCGTTCTAACCGCTAGACCACCGTGGATATATATATGCCTATATAAATTATCATGCAGGTGTGCAGTCGTAATGAGTGAGTATAGGTTTTGAAAATATTTTGTTCGGGTACTATGTGAATTATAATCGATCACAGGTTACAAACTAAACAAAGCAAGATGCCGGCCTGAGCCTTCCACCCCTCTGCCTGCTATTCCATTTTCCTAATGCCGCCTTCGACCAATGTCGCTAGGGAAGTCTGTCCCGTCAAGAAAATAGTCAAGACTGGGAACGAGACGGAGAAGGAATCGTAAATGTTCCAATGAGACGTGGAGGGAGAATTCTTTCGGCGGCCTCAGAAGGCCCATGGCTGAATGCTGATAGTGGCACTTCCTACAGGCCAAATGTAATGGCTATGCCACCGTCACTCAAGCGTCAGAGAGTCTATGATGAAGCAGGCCTGAGGTGTTTGGTAAGCACAGCCCAGCATGCAATTACGAACTTCTTGCAGTGATTTCCAATGGGCATTATTCAGGTCGTGCTATGCGACATGGCGCGTCAGGAAACACGTCTCCCGCTGTTAACTTCGCAATCCAAGACACCACTACCACAAATAATTCTTACAGTGAAAGGTTTCGTCTTGAAACAATCTGAATGCAATTAACTGCAGAAGTTGGCGTCGTCTTGTACTTCAACACCAAGGAAGTCTTTGTTATACCAATACATAAATATCTCTTGGCATGTTTATGCTTGTTTTGCGGCAAAGATGCAAACATATCTCGTTCTTGCGTCTTCGTTTTTGCTGACATGTAATTAGAGAAATTAGTACAGGGCTGTACATCAGGGTATTTAAATTTTAAGCAACTGCTCCAAAAAATTAAGTACGTTTAGAAGTGTGCAATTCGACCCCTTAACAATATTTTTAATATTACACACGAGCTGACAGTGCATTGTAGGTTCATTGTAACGGTCGAATTTTGTTTGGACAAAGTTTATTGTTTGGATCGAAAAGACGTTTCGGAGGGTTCCAGCCTCTCTCTCTCTCTCTCTCTCTCTCTCCGTGTTCATGTAAAAGGGAAAGTTATGCATATCTTCTATATTTATACCCAACAATTTATTGTTCTTGTAGTTCAGCAGTCTTTAAGAGGATTTGTTTCTAAACCATGCAATAAACTAAATAACAGAGTTCAGTAAAAAAATGTTCGTGTACGGTAACCAATGTCTCGTAAAAATACGTTTAGGTTTCTGACTTCGTAGTTTCACAACCCTTGAGAACGGGATAAATGTGTGTGCTCATTCCTGGCACAGCGCACATGAAGCCTATTTAACGAATGACTCTGAAGTCAGAAGCAGTAGAATAATCTCATTTCTAGTCCACGGATGCACTTAAGTGACGCTGTGATGACTATGCATGGCTAAACGAGGTCATACACCGAGCTTATTATATTAACTCGACAGAGTAATGACTATGCTCGGTACATTTTTTATAATAAGCACACTTAAGGTGCAGTTAATGCGTTGTATATTTACAGCAACTGAAACTGAGTAATGGAAAAGAACAATTTACGATCCGTCTGGCATTAGTTACTACTGCGCCCAGCTCTGACTTTGTACTTCAAGTGAACAAGGGGCAAATTGCGTGTTCTGACAGTTGACACAAAGGAAAATCGATTGACGACTGCTATTTAAATATTTGATATTTCAATTTGACATAAATTGCTCCACCTTTTAAAGACGTGCTCTTAATTTACTGTTCGACTGTTAGAAGCTAGCAATTGGCCAGTTAGAAACTAGAATTCATGTCATTAAGTCAGAAACATTACAAACAGCGGAACCATACACGTTAGTTCCTTATCATTACATTTTCCCGTATTTTTGAGTAATAATTCCCGTTGCTATCTCGCTGCTTAAAAACGAAGTTTTCTATTCATCTCATCAAGCGTCTGTCTCCCAATGTATCCCAATTATCCGAACAGTCCATATTTCCCTGTCAATCTCAGGCTACTTCAAATAACGCATGGGCCAATGGATCACTATAACACTTATTTGCATTGAACGCTACTTCTCACTAATTTGTATTTGTTCATCCCTTCTTCCGTTCATGTTATATGCCATTATCCTTTTCCGAATATCACCTTTCTCTATCTTAATGTCTTGCGTTGCCTCAAATATAAATATTCGCCATGCTGCAATGTTGTACACAGCATTTATAACCTCCAACGAAAAGTGTTATTCCTGAAGACTGATACGTAACTATATGCAATTGATTATAGCCTTCTAAGCAGTGATATTCAAGATTTGAAAGTCCGATGAAACGAAATCTATCTAGAGTCTGCGTCCGTCAGTACGTCCCTATAACTAATTACTAACCATCTACGTCCGTGCAGCACAGTCCTTGAGAAGCCAATAGTACGCTCACCTAGTCAAGAAATTCCCGCATTTTATGTAACCCTAAGGTTCCTTACCGTATTCACATGAGCCCGCTACAGATCCCTAACTTTCGCCAGATGAATGCAATCCAAACCCCCAAATCCAATTTCTATAAGATCCATTTTCCTACCATCTACAACTAGGTCTGACGAGTGGTCAATTCCATTCAGGCTCTCACATCCAAAAGTTTATTTTTTAATATTAGTATTAGTACACGTTGCCCGATTTTCATATCAAAACGTGCTTGTGGTTAAAATACTAACGTGACTGTCGTTCGAACTTTTGAGGTGGGAACAATACAACTTCTTGAAAATTCTGTACTGTGACAAGCCTATTAAAACAAACTAATTATTTTAAAGAATTCTTAAGAAAATGGTATAGCCTATAACCACAAGGCCACTGGGCAAAATACATTGGCTAGATAAGAATAATAAATGTTACTTTACATAAATTTTTATGGCACATGTTACAAAGGCACCTAATTGTAGTAGAGAGCTGTCTAATAGTTCGAAACCTTTATATTGACTATGATGACGTCAATATTCCGACAAGTGTGAGATCTAATGAAACAGTTGCTCAAGCACGTCATACAGTTCCACGTCCTGTCATCTTACATTACTCTATTGAAACACGAAGCACTGAGGCCCGCGGCGTGACATTGCTGTCAGACTCCGGGCTGGAACATGTGAGCACCAAAACACATTACTGCCGTCTCGTCGTGCATCGCCGCTTTTCACAGCGGGATAATAGTCCCATAGGGTTCAATGTGTTGACGCTGCTCTGACGCATACGACGACGTCTTGAGAACATGCTATACGAACATCTTTTTCAAAATTATTTTACGAACACTTATGTTAAATACTTAAGATAAAATGGCAACTGTCCACGTAAATTAGACAATTCACGAAACAACTAAAAGGGAAGGACTTGTTTCCACATTTTGACACTACAGGTCTGTCGTCAAATAAAGATAAATTTATGATGGTAACAATAACGAGACGAAAATTATAACCGTAGCTCAGTCGACTATTATCGATAATGACAAAGAGGGAGATTTTCGAGTTCAGAACAGAATGAGCGTGACTAGAAATCAGTATGTCACGTTTTCGCCGAAGAACGAACTTGTGTCTTGGAAACAATGCGCGCTTTATACAAGCTGCGAGCTCTTGCTGGAAGCCAATTAATAGAGGTTAAATGTACACGATTCATTGTCAGTGATCGTTAGCCGTTGTATTACAGTGAAGATTCAATTACATCCTTACATTATTGAATTACCGAGGAAATGTGATATGTTTGAACTTAGTTCGTTACAATATATTCATCATGCGATGCTTGTGTCGTCTGGAAAAGGAAAAAAACTAAATGCTTCTGTATAAATGCTCTTGTTCATCATGACAGATGCGTTTTTTTGATTTGAGAAGCCACGTAAACAATCGCATGTATACATTCACAAACAATGGAAGTTTAAAAATGTTATTGTACAATTTTTCTTCTTCAATTTTTGGAAATACGGATTGCATCTTAAAAGCGACAAATTTATTACAATTAAACAGTATTTTACATTATAAACTGTGAACAGTGTCATTTTAAGAACTTCATTCACGTGCTTGAACAGAGACAGGAACTTCAATGTTTAGGTTACTGTTATTTACGACTTAAATCGAATTATTATTACACATTAGCCTGGACATGAACACTGGTGGCTATTGAAACCTTTCGTTTTGATAAGTTAACTTTCGGAAATTGTCTCTTTTTGTATCACAAAGGAAATCTGTACTTAGTGGAAGCCTGGAATTATATTCTAGTATTGATTATCACATTACTGTGTTTGAACGGACTTGGTAAAAGCTTATAGTTTCTCAGCACTCGGCAAATTCCCATGAGTCTGACGAGGAGAATGTTCTCCGCCACCTTACACGAAATTAACTGTGAAACAAGAGGGTTTAATAGGGAACTGCAATGTCCTTTAAGAATTAAATTTCGGTCGTGGGCTTACTTTATTTATCCGTGTTATTTTAAACCCAGTTTGATGTTTTATGTGCGTTTGGTTGAATTAATAGAGGACACATAATATTAAATGGGCGCTGACCTTGTGAAAAACGCTAAATTAAGGCAACATATTTGAACACGCTCACATAGGCAAGGACGTTTTTACTGATGACGTTAAATGAAAAATGTTCCATTTCATAAGTGTTGTTACCATTAGAGAGCTTTAACAGTTTTTTCAATATAGGGTTCAAAAACATTTCATTTTTGATCTAAGTTTAAAGAGATGGAAAAGGAATATGAGAGGAGGGATACAAAGGGTATAAAGGAATGGAAGAAAGGACGATGAAGACACGAAGGGAATTATTTCCTGAAGATTTCTGTCTTCTGGGTTGTTGCGATGTGTAGTCTGGTAGATGTTAACCAACGTTTCAGAGGTCATACTGCCTCCGTCATCAGGGTTCATCGCACGTGTAAGTGAACTGACAACTCTATAACACATACACAGTCCGCAGTCGACAGTAAATATTAAATACTGACAGAGATGCCCCAAACCGCAGTGCAAAGCGTACACTACGACAGTTTAGAAACCACACTAACAAGATACAGCAAGACATGTTTTTCCATTAGGAGTTATAACATTTCATTTGCCGTAAAAACACGCCACTGCAAATGCGATGTAACTACAGACGAAACTGTTTTATTGCGTGCGAGAGGTGAAATTGACGAACGGATATTACGTATCTGATTTCCTGTGCGTGAATGGACCAGGATTTACTTGTGCTAAGTACGTAGACTAATCGTCTTAAATATTTTCGTGAAGAAACGAGTTCTCCTGTGGCTGGCAAGTTCCTTGTTGAAGCTGTGTTAGAACAGCGACTGTATAAAAAACCACATGCGTCCTATCAGATTCACCTGGCTCTGATCTAAACCCAGCCTCCACCGACAATCATCTGCAACAGAGAAATGTGCAAGGGTGAAGAAGAGTGTCTTGGTCTGTGGACTTAGACAAGAATTAAATAAACTCCGTGGAGCGAAGACCATCTACAGAAAATCGGCTAATCAAGAAATTCCCCGCACTTTATGGAACCCGAATGTTCATTACCGTATTAACAACATCTCGTTACCTGTCCCCATCCTGAGCCAGATGATAGTGTATTCTGATTTTTAGGTTTTTCTATAACATACGAAAAGGCGTAAAATACGGACTTTACGACAAGTTTCATTTAAAGAATTTTAGTTAGACTAACTATTGTAACTGGCATGCCAAATTCAATGAGAATGTTATAAAACACTTTCCTCCTAAGCGACTTAAAACTTTTTTCAAGCGCACAGAAAACGGATGCACTGCCTCATCGTACTTTGATTTTCCTCCGGTGTCTGATAAAAGAAATGTCTAATCAGTAGCTGATGGATTACGTCAAACTCCACATTGATGAACCCAATGGCATTAACCTTCACAGAAGAATAAGGAATAACATTTTGTATATTCCTAAAAACCAGTACGGCCTGTGTTATTACCCTTCTTATAAATAGGTATTATTATAATAATAGACTCCTTCCACTGCTCTGGTAATTCTTCCTTCTTCCAAATACAATTAAGAAGTCTGTGGCTCTCGGAATACAATCTGTTACCATCTACCTACATCAAGTCTGTCTCAACTGAAAAAGGGCTAGCGGGTAGCCTACTTGTCTCTCGGCTGTATGTATTTCAGGTTGCCTACATCATTAACCCCATGAGCCGGGATAGCTCAGTCAGTATAGTGACTAGCTACGGGCTGGTCGACCGGGGTTCGATCCCCGACAGGGGCAGAGGATTTTTCCTCTAGCCTCTGCGTCCAGACCGGCTCTGGGGCCCACCCAGCCTCTTCTACAATGGGTACCGGGGTCCTTTCCCGGGGGTAAAGCCGGCCGGGGTGTGATGCTGACCACTCACCCCCATCTAGTGCCGAGGTCAAGGAAGAGAGGAGCTATACCTCCACTCACCCCAAAACGCCTACATGCGTATAGTGGGACAAACTTTACTTTTTACATCATTAACCCCACACATCAATTCCTTCGATTAAAATACTCTAGGAATCCGTAAGTTGATCATCAAAGTCATCTCAGACAATCCTTGAATTCATTTACGTCCCTGTACATTTTCGCTCTTTTATTTCAAGATATAATTTGTTCTGTATCACACTTTTAAAATGAAATTAATAATTTTAACGTCTTACATGTACCTTTTCATCTGCCTTGGGTTCTGCAACAACTACAATTTAGCTTACGTCTTTCTGCCTAACAGATTTAAACATTCGTCAAACCACGGTTTATGCTGCTTTAACCCTTACTTATGCTTCCTTTGGCTGAAATTTTTATATTCTCTCTAATATTTTTCAAAAACATTAAGCCTATGTACATATTATTATCCAAGTTCTTCAAGACTGCATACCTTTTTGAAATTCTACCTTAACTTCCTCACAGTTTAGTTTTCTGAGACCAAATATCCGTGATAATGAAACAACAGAAGCAACGCAGAGTCCGCACGGAGGCATTTCGTTATCACACACGTAAACATTAATCACAAACAAGTTTTCAACTGTTAACGTACCAAGACACTGATAATTGAATAGATTATTACACTTTAATTACTACATTTCAACATATTCTTAAACTAGTATGTTACCATGAGAGCACATGAACTATAATTGAACGTTCCATTTCAGTCAAGGAAAAACCATGGCAACTTTTGTGTTCCCTGGCTGTGAGAGTATGATCGACCTTTCCAATGGAAGCCGCGTTATATTTAATGCAGACTGCAACTGGTTATTGCATCCATTACAACTCACTTAAATTCCTAAAGGGACGGCGAAACATGCAGTTATTGTTAATAATATATTGCCGACTACTGGACCTATACAATTTCGCGAATTAATCAGCATTATATACAATTTCCTTCAGTCATGGCCATACAGTCGCATTTTTCAAGGTACAGCGCTATCGGATTTTAACGTTTTAACTTGTGATTGCACGGAGCGTTTAGGGCTATCGTTCGACTGCCATTACGGTAAGAATGTACCACGGTACTTGAAAATTCTCTGCTTCGCCGCAAATCAAGCGTAGTTATTTTATATTTCGATACTGACCTATGGTTTGAACACAAATGTTTCCATCTGCGTGTAACAGAAAACGGCAGGCATAAAAAAACTTTTATTAAAATGTAACGTAGACCTATTTCGCTGAGTAACAGCTCCTAAACCAATAATGCAGACTTACATATAAATTAGACGACAAGAATGTGGAACTAGGCACAGAAAACTGGTGACATGTAGGCTATTTTTGGGACAAGTTAACATACCATTAATATATTCCAATACAATAACATAATATATTTAATTTTTATGTAACTGGCTATTTATTTGCTATTTTATGAGTATGGATATGTTTCAATTATCCGATATCATATAGTTACAAAAGTACGTAAGTAGGTGACAAAATGAGATTCTTGAGGCTTTGTTTAAATAAAGCGAACACGATCAGACTTTTTTATATCTACCACGTTGTAAACATCCCAAGTCATCTGAGAGCTAATCGTAGAAATATGTGGTCGGTGACACCACTCAGGGTTATGGCAGCAATTAGCATGTTCTTAGAATGGACTGATCATTGAATATAACAGTATCAACATTTAAACATGAAAAGTAGTCTTAGAATGGACGCGGGTCTGAATTACGAGTCTTGGCCACCTGAATCATCTGGAAGGAAATAAAATGCAGCACGATTAATATGAAAATGGCTGTCTTCTGGGACGTTGAACGTTGTAGTGTGGAAGATACTGACCAACGTTTCGGGGAAGCTTAAAGCCTCCATCATCGGGGCGCAGGACGTAATAAGCTCCTCTCAAACGCCGATCAATATCAACCAGACTACAAGGCAGAACAAACCAGAGCTCAGCCATCTTCAGAATATGACATAAACAAAATGTCTTCTATGTAGGAGTTGGCGGTGACTACAAAGATGGCGGTCTGGCAGGAGTTTACCAGCTTATCAGAGGTACCTGCTGCTTCCATCAAGATCGCCCTGATGATGGAGGCACCAATTTTAGTCCTACGACATTTATTCCTACCTTGACCTTGAGTTCTCAGATAAACGAAGGGTGTCGTTATTACAACGTGGTGGACGGAGTTGATATAGTATACACGAGAGCCTCTCTCCAATTGATATGATACAAAAATATTTTATACAATGACGGCTTAATGATGTATGTTGAGAATAAATGATCAGAAGTCATACGAGCTGGTCTCATCTTCCCCTTTCCTGGCCTGGAAGAGGAACCTGTACACTGCGCCAGCCACCACGCCACCCAGGATGGGGCCCGCCCAGTACACCTGCGAGCATCAAGCACACCCTCAATGCAGACGCTTGACGTAACTCGCCACTTCACGATCATGTCATAATCACAAACTTGATTACGACAAAGACGTTCAAAGACGAACACAACATCCAGTTTCCAGTGTTGTCAAATGTGGGATCTACTCATAAATATAAAAATAACAACAAAACTCAATTATCTTGCAGAACAATACAATTATTCTGACACTACGTTGTAAATTTTACACATGACAATGAATCCAGCCCAGTGCAAAGTTTTACAGCAGTTCCTACATTAGTATTACAAGAATTGAAGGAAGTAAGTAACAGATAAACTTTATTTGGATGCCCGTAAAGTAGGCTAACCCTTTCCACTTAAACATTCATTGCACATAAGCCTAAATTTAAAGTACAAGAGTTATACGACACTAGAACTTGCACTAATGTTAAAGAACGTATTATGTTTCCTTAAAAGTTGCAAAACTGCATGAAATATTAGAGAAGTACTTTTTCCCTTGAAACAAACTGACAATAAAACAACAAATCAAAGGAAGTACTTGAAAATGATTAAGAACTAATAAAGTCTACTCACCCACTGGTTCTCCCACAGTCCTGTCATAACAGCGGGCCCAAATGTCCGGGCTGGGTTCATGCTAGCTCCCGTATATTTTATCTGCAACAAATCAGGCAATCACACTTCAGCAGCCCTTCCAAGTGCCTGGCACTGATGTACTAATTACGCCTATTTGTCTCGAGATTTATCAAGTCTAAAGAAGACACAGTGTTTTTCATTAGTGCCCCAGAGGAGGTTCCTTGAAATGCAACGTGTCTAGTAGTATTAAATTTTAACGACTGAAAACACGCTGCTTAAATATATTACTTAAAGTCAGAATATGACGGCGAAGCGAATTAATAAAACCGTCTCGGGCCAGCAGCCGTGTCAAATGGTTAAAACTCGCTTTCTCGGTCCAATTCTCTCCCTGATAGCCCGAGAGGATTTTATTAATTCAGAATACGATAACGGCTCAATGAGTTTACGTCCGAAATATTAATGAACACAAACGGACTCAAAAATCTGTTTTCGGAATCCCAGTCTTCAACGTACAAAGCCTGTGATTGCTATGTGTACACACAATTTAACACGATAAACACAAGCCAATTTCCAGTGTGAAAGTAAATTAAGATTAAATTCTGTACAAGTCTTATAAAAATAAATTTTAAACATTAAAATATTATTGTTCTTAAACCAAGTTCATTGCGTAACTTACTGTTTCAAAGCGGTTCTATATAATGACGTACTGCCAATAATTTATGTTTGGTTTATGACTTCCTTTGAACTATAACGTTTATAGAAACAACCCTAAAACATGTGGATAATTGACGGTGACATGTTTTACTTTCGCAATTCAGCTCGCACGCAGGTCCTGTTTTGTTTCTTGCACACTTGTTCGTGATAATGTGGCATCCATCATAACTTCACCACACTTCATTTGTTTGCACAGTTCACCTTTCACTTTCTGTTCTGGAGGATGCCGAGGCAAGAAAGACAGGTCAGCACAAAAAAGTAAATGGTATTTTTATCCTTGGGCTTGTTCTTAATTGATTTATAGAGTGAGTTTAGCGAATGTTTAGGTGAAAGACGGCGAAGGGCCTAACTGAGAATCTGGCGTAGAGGTCGCCTCTGGAGAGGATGCGACTTGCCCAGGCACGTCCAAGTGGGCACCACCGTTCACTTATCATTATAGAACTTCAAAACAAAACGTGGGATATTAAATTATGAAAACAAAAACTCGCTGTCGTACGCGTTCAGGTCTTTCGTCATTCAGCTTTAGGATGTGATCTGACATTCTGCAAGGTTCTGCAGCGAGAGAAAAGTGAACGTACGATGCATCTGTAAGTTAAAGTGAGCTGATGCGCGCCTGCGCAGAGGGCGGAGCACATTTCACGTTTCATTCAGTTATGTATTTATTATATTGTATTGTTTTAACTTGTTGGTAATTTATTTTGGTGGATTACAACACAGTTTTGGCCTGTTAATACTTGTGTAAATACGTTGTTTTAGAAATTGTTGCAGGCTGTAAGTGTAGAACCTTGCGATGGTACCAGTACCAGAATCTGAGGCTGTCACTGAAAGCCACTGTTCGTACTGACCCAGACGCGTCGCGAGATTACGTTGGATTTGGGGTAGATTTGTTGACGATGGTTACAGATTTGGAAAATCGAGACGAAACATAACAGGACGCTGAAGAAACTTGCTTTAAATATATACATACATAGACAACTATTGACCGTAACTTTTCCAACATAAATTTAGTGATAATTTTACTAATACAAAGACAACTATTCTGACAGACTATGCTTTGTAACAACATATTTAAATGTAAGATTTCAGGTTTTCACGATGGTGAAAATGTGCAAGAAAGTGGAAATGATTGTTCCTCCGAAACGCTGGTAACCATTAAGAAAAGTACAGGGTGTCACAAACCAGAAGTACGTAATCCATATTTCTATTTGTTATAACAGATTATTCTATCTAAAGGAATTGAACATGTAGAACAAAACTGTAAAAAACACAATAGGCACTGTTGCATGTGGTCAACACCTGGAATCCAAGGCATCAGACTGTACATGTATAATAATGACTAATTACCTTCCAGTCTTTCAAAAAAAAATTGTACGCATTTCTCATCTCTTCATGCGCGGTACATCCCCTTCCCATTCTGATCTCTATAATTAGATCTTCCTAAGAATATGGGGCTCTTACCGTAGTTGATTGCCCGAGAAGATTTTATTAAATGCCTTTGGTATTTTGCTGTCAGGGCAATGGTTTCTATTGTGTCATATGCCACGTAACACACCATGAATTAGCCGTGGCACGCAGGAAACATAACGTTATGAATAAGGCAAGAGAAGGCTTCTACACTAAGGAGGCAAACATGCCAATTCATGCCCGTTACCAGGGTCAGGGGCAGGTCATATCCACAGCGATTGTGCAAGACAGTAATATCTTTGTATAGCCCGTTAATTAAATCCTGCGTTCGTAGCAACCAGAGTTCTAAGCGAATAGAGTAGTAACTTACCGGTATCGTAAATTTTAGTTCCATTCCAGTACACGCTTCATAAATCACCCTACCCTTCGAGGCTACACGCCTATAACTACGCAGTTGAATCAAAATTTATTTTTCACAGACCCGAGTTCTGCTTTTTGAAGCTTTTCTTTGTAACCTGTAGAAGAGATACGTTTCTGAGAAGGTGACAGCAACTCTGCCGGTCAAGAAAGCCGAAATTGGATCCAAAGGCTGATCACCGTGTTCAAATGAACGTATTACCGTTCGCTAATAAATCCCTTTTCATTCAAGATTCCCAACAATAAAACGCCTTATATACTAAAATATATCTTCCTCTCATGCGTTCCACCCAAACTTTGGGCACAATTCTCATTTCCCACGGGCAAAATTTTATCAGCCTAAGAATATTTATAAAATGGTGTAACTGGTCTGCGTAAAACAGCGTTTCATTTTTGTCGATTACCAACAACTTCTGGCTCATGATGCAGCACGTTTGGTTTCAGCGCAAACATCCGCGACGAACTTCAATGACGTACTTATTTCTCCTGCGGGCAGTTTCTGTGCGAAGTTGCACAACTTTTGCTACGTCCCTCACGTTCGCTTAAAACGATATAATAACAAGACCTACGAATGAACTGATATTGGAGTAACCACGAAATGAGAAGTTACAAGAGCGCCGGAATTATCATCGGGTTAACTCTTATGATCGACAACAGGTGTCCTGCAGTACCGGTTGCTGTCCTCGTTTAAAACAACGCCCACATTTCTCTTCACTTGGCCGATATCTTTTTGTCAGTCACTGCTCTTTCGCTTTTTTCTTCGTATCTTTGTACACTCCTTGTTCTAAATAACGGTAAACATCCTAAACTTCGCATCTGTTAACTGATATTTATTCTGGACCAGTTCTTGAACAAGGAATTAATTAGAACCATAAAACTATTTAAAATACAGAGGCTTAAATTTCAATAAAATCTTCTCGGGCAATCAGGCGTTAACTGGTTACCGTAGTAAACCGACGTTTCGGGAACCAACTCTGTCCAAATCATCAGGATTCTGATGCGACTGGATACGTCGGAAGTCGCCTGTGACACTCGTCCTACACTGGCAACACAACATGAAAACGTGTGTCTTGAAGCAATTAATTCAGCATTGCCAGCAAGTCTATTCATATGAGGATACAGCTGTTTAAATACAATATACCTTGCATGATATTCAGGCTGTTTGAAGTGTTTCTGAGGAACTGACTAGACGATGTGGTAACGGATATTTCATTTTTCTTTCGTTGTTCGTTTGACTTACGTAAGGATTTTTGGACATTGCAGGTTGTACCTTATAAAATTTGAGATAGATGTGGATGGGACGTGGTTGCGCCTATTTCAAAGAAGTATCCTAGTATATGCTTGTAGGGACAGAGTAAAACCACAAAAACGTCCAGGCATGATAGTCTATCTCCTAACAGAGAATGCATACGGAACCTCCCAACGTTCAATCCTGTACATTTCGATCGAAATTACACGCCACTTGTCTCAGTTATCGATATTAGACAGGTCGTTACAAAGTTTACTTGTCCTTTATAGTCTATAAAATGACTTTACAAAGCGCGTGTTTTTCGAGATATCACTACACGCAATTTCAAGAGTCCTGCTTGCACCTCAGGTTTTCCACATGAGTTGACTCATCACCCTGATGGTGGAGGCAGCAAGGACCATCCTTGTTTGATATAATTTGTGAACGTGACTGCGCTCCACTGCAAAGCCTATATGCAATAAAACTGACTACTGGCTCTTAGTCAGTTTTTGCGCCAAGCGCTTGAAAGAAGATCGGCACAAGAGACTTTGATGGGTTGTGCTCAAGAAATATTCGTAGGCATCGAAAATTCACTGTGTACCGAACCGACACAGATCAAAATAAAATCCACCCCGACAACGTTTAATGAAATTCCTCAAAGCATTAAATATAATGGAACTTCGTTTATTACTTTCGGAAATAAAACATGCAAACGAGCGGGCAGATATATCCGACCTCGTCATTATGCGCTCATTTTATCCGATTTGTACAAAATAACTTATTACAAGCATCTTTATAGCCTGTGCCAAACGATTGAGCAATTTCATAGCACTGGATAATAAAGATAACCTAATGATCCAGTCCGGTCTGCTCTAGACAGGTCTATACCGTTAAATGCTCCGAAGTAGAATGCCACGCACAGGTCAAACGCACATCAATGACCGTCCTTCTCACGGACTGAAGAAGTAGCACACATGCTGACGAAGGAGGCACTAACTCTGGTGACTGCACTTAAACTACGTGTGGGAACTACAACTGAACTACTCTACAATTCGATGACATTGCTCATATGGGCCAATGAGGTTTGCAAAATAGCAAATAACGTATTTGAGAAATTTGTACAGTTTCTGCCTTGCGTCTGTTGGCGTGTTTCTGACAGTAAACCATGACGTCTCATATCGAAACTTGAGGATTTATAGATAATTTTACCAAATATGTCAAGCGTTCCCGAGATGCAGTACATAAAATTCACTAACAAAAAGAAAGTCAGTTGCTGAAAAATATCAAAACTGTTATTATTTATTTAGTGTTCTGTCTGACGACAGGTCAATATGAACAGGATCCTTCCATCCTTTTCTCGGACTGGGACCTGTTCATATACGTTCTTGGCAGATGATCCAGAAGTGGTTTGCCATTGCCTTCTTCTGTGTGTGAATGGAGTAATTGTTGGGATGCCACGGAGAAACCGGGGAAGCCCCCCGGAGGAAAACTCCATGTTGCCTAGACCACGGCCTTGCCCAACACAAGTTATAAATTCGGGCACCGCCAGGAATCGAACCCGAGACCCCAGGATATCAAAACTGTATAGTACATTTTACTTCTTAGTTAAGTAAGCTCTCAGCAGACTTTACAAAATTTTTATGCTTATTTAAAAGTCGTCTACGTGCACAAAAATTGGCACAATATGTAATTAACGGCGCTTTCACAAGGCACTTAGCTTTCAAGCTATAAAAACGGCATCAAAATAAATTGTATCCAACACATTCGAATATGACACACTGTAAATTATATAGAAATAAGTTCAATAAACTTCACACATCAGAACAGCTCAAACACATGCTCGCCATTACAACGCACAAATCCCACTCGACAGCTTCACGGGTTAGGAATAGCATCTGATAGTTTCCTGACACATTAGCGTCGTGACCTCAACTGTGATCTGTATCAGGTGCTCACAGCGGTAGACGGGTTACAAGTGTCAGCTCAGGCGGTTAGTCGCCGCCACGACAGTCAATATGGGATTCTTTTATGGATATAGTTGCATGGGGACAGGTTTTTATCTAAGCCTGTCGGTTCTATGCTGTCAGTACCATTTCACCCCTGTTCTACACCCACTCATGTAATATCTGGGAGATGGCCGCATCTCCAGCGACATAGTCTCACCTCGTCGAAACAATAAAAATGCATGTAAGATTCATCGCCCTGATGACGGAGGCAGTATGACCTCTGAAACGTTGGTAAACATCGACCAGACTACACAGCGCAACAACCCAGAAGACGGAAATCTTCATACTCATCGCCCTGATGACGGAGGCAGTATGACCTCTGAAACGTTGGT